GAGCAACAGCGAGGGGTTTGAAATGAGACCGCTGTGACTTTAAGAGCGAGGGCAAAAAAAAACTGTTAAGGAAGGAAAATAAAAATCCCACAGCCTGTTGTAGCAGCTGTAGCTTCAGATCGTGTGGAAAATGAAGGCAGATGATTCAATTTGGCCTGTGCCCCGAGTACATTTCCAAATGCTTCTGTGTGTGCGCAAGATAATGAACAAATATATTGAGATGGCACAAGATCAGTCCGAGCTTGCCGCTGCACAGGCCGTGGAGCTCCCAGTAGGAGTGCACGAGCTGGGCTGGGTTAATGGGGGTGAGGGTCGGCGAGCCCAGCACCTTTCACAACAACTTAAGAAAAGAATTTGTCTCCTTTTGCCCCAGGCTCCCCGTGGCACTCAAATGGAGCTTGTGATAAATCGAAGTGTATTTATTAATAATGAGCAGGGGCAGCGTGCCCATGATGGGAAAATAGGTGTGCCAAATAAAAACGTGCTTCCCTCTGACATCGCAAAAGCTTAAGTAAATGGAGAGCAGGCTGATCTATTATGATTAAAAAGCGGGGGCTGAGAGCCAACATAGTGGTAATGATAAAGCCCTTTCAGGGAAGCAAGGCCCATTCTGCCCATTCATATATTCCTCCACCCCACAGGAAGAAGTAGGGAGGGGGAAGTTGGATGGGTGAGATGGAAAGGCAACAGCATTCCAGGATAGCAGAGCTGGAGCTATTAGTGGGATGAGTTATGATATTTAATCATGCTACATGATGTCCAACAGCGCAAGGTTCATAATTCTTGGCTCCGAACGTGGCTTGGGGCTGTCCGTGAGCACCTGCAGAATGCAAATTGATCATGGCCTTACAAACCCCCTGTACCTGCCCCAGTCCTTCCCCGCCGAGCCAGCCTTGCCTGCAGCCCTGGCCCGCTCCCACCGACCTGGAAACGGCCTCTTCCACCTTCCCAAACACAAATCTGTCCTTCCTGGTGAAAACTGACTGCAGAGAGCCGGGATTGCCTGCCACCAGCTTTGCTCTGCGGTGTGTGGTGGGTCTGGGGTGTTATTTATCTTGCAGGAGACTGCATTGGTCTGGTTTTTAAGCAGCTTTGGGTTTAATTAATGCTTTTGGAGAATTCCATTCAGCAGTGAAACAGGCTCTGCTGGAGTAAAACTTCAGCACCTATTCAGTGTTTCAGTTCATATGCATGGACATTAATGTCTTGCTGTCTTAGGGTTTGGAAAATATAAATTAACAAAGAGCTTCAGTTGTCCCCATGTGCCTTTTTATTTACTTACAGCTTTGCTCTCCTGAAGTGACACAGTAGTCAGCCGTTGTGTAAGACAACATTCCCTCCCACCTCCCACCCTCAGGAAAGGAGGCTGAGGAGCACCTGTCCAAGCCCCTCTCTGCAGAGCTTTGGGCATCAGAGTTGAGACATTTTCCTTCTCAGATGGCTCCCAAAACACTCTGGGCAGCTCTATCAAACGCACTCAGGTTTGGCCCGCACACTTCCTCCTGCTGTTCCCAGTCTCTGGTTTGGCTCTGTTCAGCTGGCTGGAACTCTCCAGTTCCAGTTTGGAAGACAGTTTGGATTAGTCCTGCCTCAAACAGGGCAAACCCATCCACAGGATTGTTTTTGCCCAAGGACCTGGGTACACTCAGTGGGTAATGCAGAGGGATGGGGACACACAAGGTGTGTCTGAAAAGGATTGGATTTTGGGTGAGAACAGCCTGTAATGTTGAGCTGCATATGTAATTGTGGTTGCTGAAGGACATTGCCACTGTGTGTAAATACCCTGGACAACCAATATGGGCTGCTCCAGTTTTAGTGGCTCATCCACCTGAGGTGTTTAATCCCCATGGCTGGTGTTGCATTCATGCCTCTGGAGCTCCCTGCTAATGTGTTGTATGAGAGGGTGTAGCATGTTTTGCCTGTGGATTTGGGGAGTTGGTTTGTTGGGTCTATGCTGAGCTGGAGATGACATCCCCAGGCTGGGAGCAGGGCCAGGAGCCCACTTTGCCTCTGGCCCACCTCACCTTTGCAGGCTCTGAACAGCAGTGACTTTTTCCAAGGGAGAGGAATACTAGTTTGTATAGTAAAACTCAATCAGGGAACGTGGTCAGGAGGAATTTCCAGAACTCAAGCAAAAACACCCAGAGAAAATCACTAGAAATCAAGGGCTGAGCCAGTGGCAACTTTGGGAAAGAAGCTTTTGGCCAGTTTGCTAATACCCAGGTCTGCCGAGAGTGCCCTGAAACCAATGCATCCATTTAGCAGAACAACTTGTCCTCCTCCTTGGGTCCTGCATGTGGCTCATTAGGGTAATTACTGATGAATTAAGGCAGCTTGGCTGAGCGCTGGGGCTGCGGGTGTGCGGGCTCCCCTGCTGGCAGGCAGCAGGTGTAAATGAACAAGATCTGTCAAAAAGGCTGATGACCCTCTTAATTCACAGCAGCAAACTGGGGACAGAGGTAGTGCAGCAAGTTTAATAATTGATATTTACTTGGAAAGGTTAATGGCAGCAGTGATGCTTCTAATTTGCTTGCCTGTGCAAGACCTTGTCAGGTCAAATTGTCTCAATTTGTTACTGTGTGTATAGGTGTAGTTTTCCTTTAATGAAATTTGGAGAAAAGAAACAGGTGGTGTTTGGAGCTGACTGTAACTCAAGAAAAGCAGCAAAAGGATCCAGTCTGGTAACAGGTTGGGTGAGTCTGTGCTAACTTTAAACAGCTGTCAGTTTAGTCCTTTTGAATTAATTCTAGCAACGATTTGCACTTGGGAAGGTGAAAGGATTTGGAACGGCATAATTTATTTTTCCTTTAATTTGCAGCTGTCTAGGAGTTGTTTAGGTCAGAAGTGGAGTAATTTTGACAGGCTCTGATGTGTTCTTTGGTGGGAGGAAGAAAGTTATGGATCAGAAATCAGAAAGCTGTAGAATTCAATGGGCGTTTCTGTAGTGTATTAGGGAAATTGTAATTCTGCCCTGCAATGGTTAAGTGGTTCCTGTTTCAGGGCGAAACAAAGCACCTGCTGTGTCTGGAAGGATTGAAATTGGCAGGTCAGATACTTTACATCCAAGAGTTTTCGAAGAACTGGCTGATGACTCTAAACCAGTGGAGTTTGGTTTTGAGTAAGTGTAGAAAGATCCAGATGACAGAAAAAAGCTGGAGTGCCAGTGTTTGAAAGGCTGTAATTAATGGGGTATTACCATTTGTCTTATTGGCTTGGCATCAATCCTAGGCAAGATAATGGCATAGTTGAAGTAGTAATTGCTTAATAAAGACCTCAAAAGGAATAAAATAAGCGAATGACAATCATTTAATGTATTTAGGAAAAAATATCGTACCAAATTTACTTAATTATATGTGGAATTAAAAATTTGATGGCTTATGGCCAATATTGATGTAGTATAGTTAGATTTCTCTTTTTGATGTTGTTGACCTAGTTATTAAGGAAACAGACAATATGGATTGAACATCATGAACTTCAAGTGGATTATTTCTTGCCTTGATACGTGGTGTGGATAGTTGCAAATGCAAGCTCCCTGTTGTTGGAAATGCTTCTAGCAGACCCCAGCAGGGATTACCTCTCATTGCAGTGCTGTGCCTTTAAACATTTTGACAAAGGAGCAAAGATGAAATATTGGTCTTGATAAAAGTTTTCAGGTGAGCAGCATATTTGAAAGGTGGTGGACAAGGAGTGAGATGGGGCACTGCACTGAGAATGGTGGTTATATAATGAGGTGGCCATGAAAAAAATTTGATTTCTATCACTTAGATGTGTCTAAAAGTCTTATCCTGCAGAAGAAAGCATGTTGGTGAGGTGTAAGGTGGCAGAAAGGCATGCAGAGCAAGGACATTAATCAGAAATCTACTGAGCATGATACTTTTCCTTCTACTTCTTTTCCTTTTGCCTCTGCTACCCAAGCCCATACAGGGCTGTGCACCTGGATGGGAACTGGAGCTCATTCCACACACAGTACTCTGAACATTTCATTAAAAATATTAACAGACTCTGTGGCACTTAACTGGCAGCACTGTCAAACATCCATGGAGTGCAGTGATCAGTGCTCCCAGTGCTCCGATTGCTGTGCCCACGTGGTGACAGCATGTCCAGCACCACAGTGGTGGGGCTGCAGCACCACAAGCAAACCCTGCTGGCTGCCAGCACCACCATGGAACAGGACAGCAAGAAACAAAGGGATTTTATTGCCATTAAAAATACCAATTTGTACAAGCCGACATTTTAAATAGTGTAATTTAAATGGAACCAAACTGATATGAATAGAACCTATTAATAAATTAAACACTTATTTCCACCCAATATTTCACAAGGGAATTAGCAGAATAATTTGTTAGTAAATGAGCCCAGGAATGAAGCTGTGAATGACATCTATCCTACCCCTCTCCTCCCCCTGTAACACTCTTTGCAGATGTAAGAGGAAGGTTGCTGTGATTTCAAATATTGGCTCTCTCACTCCTATCCACACAAGCACAATTTCAGGTGAAGGGAGTGGGATGATTCAGCAGTTAAAGCACCAGCCTTGGCTGTAAGGGCTAATCCTGATGTACTCCAAATTCTCTGTAGTATTTCAAGCAAATTCTTTCAGCAAGTGTCCCTCAGTGGTCATCATGACCTCTCAGTGCAGTCCCTGGGGTGGCCCCAGGGGACATTTTGGCTGGGCAGGATGGCCTGGGTGGGCCAGGCAGCCCAGCAGTGTCCCGGCTGAGCAGCGCTGGCAGCTCAGTGAAGGGGCTCTGTCTGCCCGTTCCCCCCTCGTGTCCAAGTGCTTTGGCACAGCCTCACCTGCTTCCAGGAGTGCCAAAAGCACCTTCCCTCCCACGCTGGTGAAGAGGAGCATGGACACACGAGCAGAGAGCCCCACACACTCCCTCCCTTCCACGGTGCCGTGGGAGTGAGACATTGACTAAACTGCTGTCGGCAACCTGGGGAACAGGTGGCAGAGCAGTGCTTGAAAATCTCCTTTTTCCCCCTCCTTCTTCTCCCTCTAGATGAAGGTCCCTACAAGCAGAAGTGGCAGAAATAGCGAGGAAGACAGCATCAGGGAGGCCACAAGCTCTCAGCGGAGCAGCTCAAGGGACCGTCTCAGTGATGTAAGTACCGTTCAGGAGAAAGCATCGCTTCATTGCAGCAATTCCCGCTGCTGACATGGCTTTTCATAAATCTTGCTGAACAAATGTTGGCATCCAGAGGTCACTGTGTAATAACTTTTTTTTATGTCATGATTGAATGTTACGGCATAAGTGGTTGAGCTGCCTTGCAAACACTATAATCATGGTGCAAATAATATGATAAGCGAAAGATCAGAGATGGGAAAACAAAATGGAATTGTTATTCCTTGGGGAAAAATGGCTTGATGGTTTGTTTTGTTTTTTCAAAGAAGTTGTGTTAAAAAGCTTTTTACAGCATCTTTGGGTTTAACTGCTGCACATAATCACATAGTTTGGGTGCAAAGTTAGTTCATCTAATTTTATGCTTCCTGCCGCCAAGATATGAGAGGGTTTTGGGGGAAAGCTGTCTTTCTCTCAGGAAATTCGACGGTACATTGAGTGAAATGTTATGATAAAACAAAAGCAAATGGTGCCTTAGTGTGTAAACACACAAATGGGCTTTTGAGTCACCAAGAAATCAATGGCAGTGCTGGGATAATTTTATACGAAGGCTTTTTGTGTTAGCAATTAGCATTTCGCCTTCATTAAAACATGATTTTTTACTAATTAGGACCTTTCCCGTTAGGAGAGATTTAAATGAAGAACAATAATCAAACGCTGGCACGAGCATGTCTGAAATATTAAATTTGCCATTTCAATGGCAAGCCACAGAAATCCCAGAGCGAGTGGTTTTCATGTTGAGTTCTATTAATGTAAAATATGCTTCATAACTAAAACCTGTCACAGAAAGTGGCTCACACCAGCTAAATTCAATTGGACAGTTAATTTAGCTTTAAAATTGAAAACACTACCTCCGCTTCAGGATGCAAAAGGAAGAGGGGTGGAAAGCCTTTGATAAGTGTAATGTATTTGCTATTAAGGCTTTCAGAGCCCGTTCTACAGGAGGAAAAGGGAGAAAAAGGGGGAAAAAATGGCTCCCACAAATGTGTTTAAAAGCTGAAAGTATTTATTAAAAATGTCAGCAGAAAAGTGCTTTTGGCAGATTAAAGCGGGATTCAGCTTGACAGCTCTGACAGGGAAATGTGACGGGGGAAAATTCTCTCTACATGTTTGGAGTGTGAATGGGGTGCTGTAAACAGCCGACGCAGTGGGAGGAAGAGAAAAATAACATGTCCTGTGATCTGCTTCCAGGATTGCGAGCCCACGCGCCGCCGTGGGGGCCCGGGACAGATCCCCTGGCTGTGGGACATCCTTGGCTGTGTTATTAGTCAGTAATGTGGTGATTTTATACACACACACCGATGGGATTCTCTGCTTCCCCTCCCCTCGGCCGCTCCTGAGGGTGCGTGAGCAGGAGTGCCTAGAGCTGCACTGTAGAGTGGGGCTGCAGGAAAGGAATAACATATTCCAGCTTAGCCATTAGCTTAGGTCAAAGCCTTAAGTGGTCTTGGAGACTTTTCTTGTTAAGCCGATGCACTTCCAGTATTTCTTCTCCTTTCCCTTTGCCCCCAAAGTTGCAGGCTGAGCCTGTAGGAATTGCCTCAAAGTGCCTAATTTCTGCAAAATCTTCAAAGCCTGCTCAGCAGCCAGTGAAATTCAGTGGGAAATAGGTACTCTGCTCTTTTTTAGTCAGAGGAGACGTTTGGGCAGTGCCTGGAGGCTGGGGCACACTTCAGAGCTTTGCTGAAGCTGCTCTCGTGACCTGGCGACCCATTGCAAATGAGAATTTTTCAAATTAGTAATTAAACAGTTTGAAAAGTAAGGTTCATGAATCACAGAGTGTTCTTCATTCGTTATTTGATGAGTGCAATTTAGCTTTAATTACATATAACACTGCCTCGTGTACTGGTACATGTTCTGTAGCCTATTTAGTGACTGTCTCAAAGTCTTAGGAAGTCCCACGGGTGCAATCAGATGGTTTTCCCCATTTCTGTGCAGAGGGATGAGGAGGCAGGCTGGTTCTCTCGCTGTAGAGAGGGAGCAGGGAAAGAGAGGAGACAACAACATGCTACAGAGTGTTGATTTCTGCAGGATTTTCTGTCCAGCCATGCCTGGTCCCCGTTGGCTCTGGAGCTGTGCATCCCAGCACACAGTTTAAATAGCTGCTGTGCCACTGGAGTGGCACAACTCCTTGCATGTCCTCAGGATCAGCAGCACAGGGCAGTCAGGATGTCCAGGGAAGGCAGGGGTGGTGGTTACAAACCGAGGCTCCAGCGCCCAGCAGTGCCCCTGCAGATGGATGCTCTGCAGCAGGAGGCTGTTTCTGGGCTGTTTCTCACTCTCCTGCTGTTCCTCGGTGCATTTGGCCTTCAGGACTGCTCTCTGGGCTGCCCTCCCTCCTGTGCCTTTCCCCATTAAGTGGGGTGAACAATGGAGTGAATGAGGCAGGAGGTGCCAGGTCTGGCTGCTGTAGGGTAGCACACAGCTGGTGTGGTGGGAAATGTGCCTATCAAAGTGTCAGCTGTGGTGTTGCCATCTCAGGAGCACTAGGTCCTCTCTCCAGCTTCACTGGTTCCCATTTCAGAGGTGCTATTCTGAACAGCTTAGCCCCTCTGTGCCATTTGTTTCTTGAGGTGACTTGTTCAGTGGGATGCCAGCAAGTTGTTCTTTATTTACATTAATGCATGTCATTAGTCTCTAATGGACCAAGAAGTCAAGAGGTGGCCTGGTCTGTCGTGAAATAATTGCACTCTAAAGAAAACTGAGGCAAATGATTGATTATGTTGTGCACACACACACACAAACAGCCATTGGTTCATGCACTATGAAACCCAGAACATTTTGCTCCTTCCTTGCCACAAGTGAAAATTCTGTGGGGAGAAAATGACACGATTTCATAGTGAGACAGTAATTGTCTGGCTTGTATAGTAAGTCTTTCCAGACATTACACCAAGTGCCATTTATTATGGGTCATTGGGGGGAAAAAATGCTTATTATGATCTAGTGAAATCATCTCTGGCTGCAGAGGTTTGATTTGTTGAGGCTGGGCTCTTCTTTGGGGTGATGAAACTTCAGAGCAGAAAACCAGTGAAGTTTTAGCCCAAGTTTTGTGGTGCAGAGAGGAGATGGGAATCTGCCACTTGTTTATGTTCCCAGTGTTGATGTAAAATTCCCTTAAAAACTACTACTGAGCTAACATCCTTGTTGCACGTGTACTCTCAGGTCTTCTACAACCAAAACAGAGTCAACAGCCTTTCTCCAAAATGGGATTTTCCTCTGCTGCTTTTCAGTGTGAGGTAATTGGAAGTTGCCAGAGAATTAAGAGCCAGATAAGCCATATTGCTATTTTGTTGTGTTGACCCAAGTAAAAGTGGAAAGCTTGGGCATTTTGTTTTGGTTTTCCCCATGTTCCATAATTGTCTTAATCTTTTCTGATGTCCTGAACAGTCCAAAAATCCACACAGAGCCTTGTATAATGGCTTAAAAAAGGGTTTTTATCTTTTTCTTGACCCATCAGCTTAAGAACTGCCTGCTTTTTAATGGATTTTCTCCCTCACTAAATTGAATGGATCGTCCCTCATTATCATTTAAATAGAAGCCTCACTCCCTGTGAACATGGAAAATTTGAATGTGGTAGTAGAGCTGTGATAATTTGAAATATTCGGAAGGTGGGGGCAAGGAGGGGGAACAGGCGGCAGAGTGCAGAATTGCTGAATGTAATTGTCATGGATTCTCAATTTTGTTGCCACAAGATGGGAAAATAGACTAATAATTGTCTTCCAACCCTGGTAGAATAGTTGCCCTAGTTAGCTGAAGCTAACACTCTAATTGTCATGGGGGCACAGAGATGAATGAGGATGTATGCAGGGCACAGCCAGGGCTAAATTGAGTGATATACTAAGGCAAAGAGCAAATTGGCAATTATTGGCCCAGCTGAAAAGGTTGGCAGGTGTGCTGCTTTCTCAGGAGCCCTTAGGGGGAAATTGGAAATATAAAATATCGACCATAAATACTCGCTGATTAGGAAATATGTTGCAAGAGGTGCTGGCCACTTAAGAGTCAAAACTCTCCTTTTCAAGGGATTGGCTTCAGCTGTGCATAAAACCAGCAAGCACTGCTACTAAGTTGTTGAGAGCCTTTTCCTCTCATCCCCCAGGCTATCTTTTCTAATTTTTCATCATCCTATCCTCATGTGTTTGTTTGTTTTTCTTTAAACATAATAAACGAAAAGCAGTCTTTTAGGAAATGCGAGGATCTTCCTCTCTCTAAATGTTCTTTGATAAGTGTTTAGCATATTGTATAGGCTAGATATAAAATTCTCTCTCTGGTAGATGAATACAAAATAAGTTCTGTGATTTCTAATTCAGGCAGTTTACTGTGATCTGCTTTTCTTTGTGTGCCATCACAGGCATGGTCTCCCCCTTCCCTCCTACTTCTTGTACCACGCTTCCCCTCCTGGGGCACAGGGATTAGAGCAGCAGCAGGGTACAAAGCTGGAGGTCCCTCATGTGTGCCTCAGGCTGAAGTACCTTGCCAGAAGCACAATCAGATGAGCCTGTGAAGTGAGAATTGAACCACAGTCACTCATTTATCCACATTTATCCACACTGTAAACTTCGGTGCATGTGGGTGCACCAAACTTTGGCTCCAGTAGGGTGGCAGGGGGACCTCAGAGCCATGGTCAGGGGTGTCACAGAGCACATTGAAGGAGTTTTTGGAAAGCCTGGAGTAGTAACATGTGGGCTGCAAACTCTTTGTGGCACGTGCTGTCCACTGTTCCCCATGTGTAAAACACTGGGATCTGATCTGCAGTTTGAAGAGTGGAGTAAGACCATCGTAGCCAAAAAGAGTAGCAACAGGATAGATTAAGACCCCTTCCACAAACCATGACTCTTGGGAAACTGGTTTGAATATACATGGAAGGATCATGCAACCTTGCAAATCTCATTCTTCTGGAGGCAAAAATTCCCTTCTCTTCAGCACGCTGTCTGCTTTTCTCTGCATCCCACAAAACACCAAATGCTTGCGTGGAAACAGCTTCT